GGACATCGGCCGCTCAGGTGGGCTTTCAAGTCGTCGTGTGTCTTTTCCTGATCAAGTTGCATTGCGTCAGGCGTGCCCCGCCCAGCAGAAGCAACGCGCACAGAAAGAAATGGCGAGGTGCGGTGCACGGCAGCGCATCAGATGTTGACCGCGCTCAGTTGCATCGCGCTAGTGGCAGGCATGTCTCAGCACGTCGTCATGGATGTCATTGCGAAGGAAAGATGGCGCTGGAGCTTGGATGTTTGAGTTGCTTTCACCTGCAGGACCCTGTGCAGGCTTTGTTCACCAAAGAGGCGCGTTGCTTCTCCTTAGACAACAACAGCCCTGCGCTTTGGCGTGCGCACGAAACCAGTGATTAGTATGCATAGCGCAGGCATAGAGTTGGAGCAGCTCTGTACAATTTAGTTTCAGTTCCCCGCGTTTCTCCGTCAAGGGGGGATGCTGCCAGACTTCCAATGCTGGAGTCCCGGAACAGATCCCTGTGGTTTGGCAAGTATCACTCAAAAGTCTGAAAGATTTGGAAGCATGTGGGCGTGGCTCAAAATTACCTAGCTAGGGTTACGCAGGTTTCAGTCTTTGGTCCCATCTAGGTGCCAATTTGGTACCACTTTTGACCCACAGCCATGTGTTGATCAACAGTCCCGGAATAGATCCTGCAATCAACTTGGCCCCTGCCAGGCAGGCCTCTGCGCTTCAGAGAGCCTCTTGGTCCAATTCTGTCAGAGTCCCTCCACATGGTTGCTTTCATGGGCGTGTCATTTTTTCTTGTTTTAAGGGGAAGTCTCTTTTGGTGGACTGTTCAGGAACTAAGCATTTTGGGCGCCCGTTTGAAATGCACCCCATGTCACACCTTCTCGAGACACCAAGCCTGAGGTGACGCGAAGTGGAATCACTTGAAGATTGCCAAAGCTCGCAAGTGCCGGCCTCGAAAAAGGAAGCAGCGCCGAAGAATCCCAGCTGCTGGTTGGCACCATCTTACCGATCCTTTAAGACCACCAAGACAGGGGGTACCCTCAAAAGAAGACAGAAGCAGGTGGTTACTGGCTTAGGTAAAGGGATTGATAGTGATCTCTTCTCTCCGCGCAAGGAGAAGAATGGACCAATTGTTGTCCATTTCCAAGACGGACAAGGTGGAGGTGCTCGACACCAAAGAGAAGCCCCAACTCAGGATTGCGGACGGCCGGTTCACAAGTGGGTGCGGCTCAAAATTAAACAGGGGGGGTTACGCAGGTTTGGTCCATGTTTCCATTTACCAGGGTTCCATTTTGGTACCGGTTTTTTGAGCCACCGCCAAGAAACAGCCAATAGGAGTGTTACTTTCCTGCTCTGCTGGTCAGGGCTCATGCGTTGGCGCCGCTCCTCCGTTGCGGCGTTTCACGACACGAGCCAATGTCATGTCGCCATACTGCATTTTTCAACACAAACCCACGGACGAAGAGTTCCCGTAGCTGGCAATGCTAGTAGGAAGAGGAGGAGCCGTAGTAGGAGGAGGAGGAGCAAGGGTAGGAGCAGCAGCAACAGAAGCAGCAGCAGCAGCAGCAGCAGCAGCAGCAGCAGCAGCAGCAGCAGCAGCAGCAGCAGCAGCAGCAGCAGCAGCAGCAGCAGCAGCAGCAGTGCAGCAGCAGCAGCAGCAGCAGCAGCTGCAGCAGCTGCAGCAGCTGCAGCAGCAGCAGCAGCAGCAGCAGCAGCAGCAGCAGCAGTACATATGACCCGGAGTCCGCACAAGGGCGGCCCTTCGGTTTGCGTCATCGGTGTTTTGCTTTCGGGAAACTACTGCTACTACTACTACTACTACTGCTACTGCTACTGCTACTGCTACTGCTACTGCTACTGCTACTGCTACTGCTACTGCTACTGCTACTGCTACTGCTACTGCTACTGCTACTGCTACTGCTACTGCTACTGCTACTACTACTACTACTACTACCACCGCCACCACCACCACCACCACGACCTCCTCCTCCTCCTCCTCCTCCCCCTCCTCCTCCTCCTCCTCCTCCTCCTTGTACTACTGCTCTGATGGTGGTGGTGATGATGGTGATGACGGTGATGATGGTGATGATGGTGATGATGGTGATGATGGTGATGTTGGTGATGATGGTGATGATGGTGATGATGGTTATGATGGTTATGATGGTGATGATGGTGATGATGGTGATGATGGTGATGATGGTGGGCAAACCCTGGTGTTTGCGTAGTACCTGGGCAACATTGTGCGGCCCAGCTGGATTGAACAAGTGGCTGCTTTTCGCTGCCTAATCACGTAATGAGGAGTTTACGAGGTCCTTTAGCCGAGTAGGAAGCAGTGTGAATTGAAACTGGGGACCCTTTGATGGTCAAGGTCAAAAAGAAGCTGGAAGGAAGCTAATCAATGGGGAGACTCTGGATGCCATGAAAGCTTTCAGAGCGGTGCTCAGTGAAAGCACGGAGCAGCCAAATGCCAATTCTAGATGTTAACCCAAGCGTTCCCAGCTCTGGCTTTCTGGGCCCTGGAAGGAAGTCCGAGAGCAAGAAGGAGAGCCGGAGCCTTGGACGCCTTGGACGCCTTGGACGCCTTGGACGGGGGGCTTTCGGGAGTCCTCCTGATTCTTTTGCAAGAAGCGAGGTCACACTTTTTTTTGCCGTCGCGTGATCGCGCGTGCATGTCGCTTTCACGCTCGCCCACCCACCCACCCGTGCGCCCCCGCCACCCACACACACACACATGGGAACATGTGAGACCATAGTGCCAGTTGTTGCAATTCCGGTCACTTCGTGGATGCATTTCGCTTCCAGACGCAGGCGCAGAGCGAGGAGTTCTGAGTTCGGTGTCGCAAAATCAAGTGCTGAGCCAGCAGCGCAAGGAGGCGGGCTGATTTCCACAAGGGTCCTGACACATCGCTAGAGACAAAACCAAGGGTAAATCGGAAGGCCATTTCTATGAGCCACTCCTGTCACATGACTGGGCACGGGCAGGCGTGACGTCATGTCATCGTAGGGAAGGAGCCTGTAGATGACACTGCCAAGCTGCCCCCGCCCGGTCCGACCGTGGTGGTGAAAGGCTTGCCAGATGATGCGCTTCTTCGTCTATGGCTGCGTTGAGGGCTTATATACTTGTCCCGCGGTTTTGGAGACGTTTTGGCAGATGGACGACTCGTGTAAGGAATGTGGTTGCGGTCGTTGCGGTCCTTCACCAATTGATATAATGCTGCATGGATGGTCGAAGCTGAGGTTGGCAATGAAAATGCCAAGACCCAAAAGGAGAAAGATCAGCTGCTTGGCTTGCCTTTGTGTAATGCAAGGCTCAGCTTCTGCACGATCGGCAATTACACAAAGTGAACCACACGCCTACAGTAGCCAGAAACAATTCAGCAGACACCAGGCCAACGATGATGCAGACCCCATTACGTGTGTTGATGCTTGGTTCTTGTTCCCATCCAGGCCGAGCATTTCCGATCAGGATCCCGCGATCCAACCAATCGAGCTGTTTCCACAGCCACAGCCAAGCAATGGCAATATGTGTTGCTAAGGCAGCAAGCGGCAAGGCATGAGGTAAAACACAGAATGCTCGGTTTTCGGGAACCTTTGGCGGGCCCAACTGCAGCGGCAAAGTGATTAAACTTTGGCCATGCAAGGATCTTCTCTGAAGCATTGGGCAGCTGGGCGCAGGCGCGTTCCTGTCCCACGAAGTCAGTGCATCACCTGCCGACGTAGGTGCAGACACTGTATATCCTTTGGAGCAAGCTGGATGACGACAATTCGGGGCGTGGGGCGCCCAAGGAAAGGCTTGAAGCGCGCATTGGCGGAGGCGGCAAAACACAAAACCACAAACCAACCAAAACAAACACACACAAAAATAAACCAATCCAAGCCAAAGCGAAAACAAACAGACAGACAAACAAACAAACAAACAAACAAACAAGCAAGCAAGCAAGCAAGCAAGAAAGCAAGCAAGCAAGAAAGCAAACAAACAAACAAACAAACAAACAAACAAGTAGACACAGACACACAAAAGCACACACACACATGCATACACAAGAACCCAACCAAACAAAAATGCAAATAAACTAAAGCACAACAAGCACAAACACATGCAAACAATCAATCAATCAATCAATCAATCAATCAATCAATCAATCAAGCAAGCAAGCAAGCAAGCAAGCAAGCAAGCAAGCAATCAATCAATCAATCAATCAAACAATCAAACAATTAATCAATCAAACAATCAAACAATCAAACAATCACTCAATCCATCAATCCATCCATCCATCAATCCATCCAACAATCAAACACTCAAACAATCAAACACTCAAACAATCAAAAAAACAGTCAATCAATCAAGCAATCAATAAGCCAGCGAGCCAGCAAGCAGGCAAGCAACCAATCGATTATTCAATCAATCAATCAGTCAATCAACCAATCAATCTATCAATCAATCAATCAATCAATCAATCAATCAATCAATCAATCAATCAATCAATCAATCAATCAATCAATCAATCAATCAATCAATCAATCAATCAATCAATCAATCAATCAATCAATCAATCAATCAATCAATCAATCAATCAATCAATCAATCAATCAATCAATCAATCAATCAATCAATCAATCAATCAATCAATCAATCAATCAATCAATCAATCAATCAATCAATCAATCAATCAATCAATCAATCAATCAATCAGCAAACAAACAAACAAACAGGCAACCAGGCAAACAATTTCAACAAGCACAAACACAAACACAAGCAAAAAAAGACGCCGACACACACACACACAAAAAGCACAAGCAAACCAAAGCAAAAACAAGCACACAAGCGCGCAAAGATACACACACACACACGCGCGCGCGCAAAGACACAAACACACACACACAACCAACCAAACAAACAAGCTTGATTGATTGATTGATTGATTGATTGATTGATTGATTGATTGATTGATTGATTGTTTGCATGTGTTTGTGCTTGTTGTGCTTTAGTTTATTTGCACTTTTGTTTGGTTGGGTTCTTGTGTATGCATGTGTGTGTGTGCTTTTGTGTGTCTGTGTCTACTTGTTTGTTTGTTTGCTTGCTTGCTTGCTTTCTTGCTTGCTTGTTTGTTTGTTTCAAGCAAGCAATCAATCAATCAACCAATCAATCAATCAACCAATCAAACAATCAAACAATCAAACAATCAAACAATCAATCAATCCATCCATGCATCAATCCATCCAACAATCAACCACTCAAACACTCAAACACTCAAACAATCAAAAAAACAATCAATCAATCAAGCAATCAAGCAAGCAATCAAGTAAGGCAGCAAGCCAGCAAGCAGGCAAGCAATCAATCGATTAATCAATCAATCAATCAACCAACCAACCAACCAACCAACCAATCAATCAATCAATCAATCAATCAATCAATCAATCAATCAATCAATCACTCAATCAAACAAACAAGCAAACAAACAAACAGGCAACCAGGCAAACAATTTCAACAAGCACAAACACAAATACAAGCAAAAAAAGACGCCGACACACACACACACACACTTAAACTCCAGATGGAGGGTGCTAATCTTTCGAGTACAACTGATGCGTCTCGAGTACAACTGACGAGTCTCGAGTACAACTGATGAGTCTCAAGTGGGTGTAGGTTCGGCTTGCAGTCACTTGGTTTCCGTCTAGCAGCGAAAACGTTACAAATTCAACATGAAGCACACACAGCGAGAGAAGCAGCGGGCCAAAAGGACTTTGAATCACGCGAGTTGCGCAGGTACGCTGGGATGACCAGTCCCAGTATCACCACCGATGGCAAGTGTCTTCGTTGGCAGGAGACTTGCCATGGTGCTCCTGCCCCCTGCAGTTGTATAGTGGCAGGGTATTCTGCCACTCCGCGCACACACGCCCCTCAGTGAGGGGCGAAAAGTCTCTTTTTTCGGGGGGAAGAAGAAGCGCCCGAAAGACGGACGAAGACCCCAGCAGAAAACAAACGGAGCAAGAACCCAAAAGGAACAGAAAGGCCCCACGTTGGGTCTCCGCGGGCAAAACCCCAACCAAGAAACACGAAAAACGGGAAACCGAGTTTAGGGTCACCGCCGAGGGCAAAGAACCCCAAACAGTCCAGAAACCCTCCTAAACCTTGTAGAGAAAGAGAGCGCCGCGAAGTTGAAGAACGACACCACGAACACGCCATCCCTAAACGGGCGAAGAGGAACAACCGGAAGTAGTAGTGAAAGGGGAAGAAGAAAAGAAGGAGAGAGCGAGAAAGAGAGAAAGGAGGAGAAGGGCCGAGATGCGCATTTAGGGCGCCGCAGCCCGCCCGGGGAAAGGAGAAAGAAACGCAAGGGGGAGAGAAGCAGAAGAAGGAGAGAAAAAAGGAAGACAAAGGGAGCGAGATGCGTATTTAGGGCGCCGCAGCCCGCCCGAGGAGAGGAGAAAGGAGAAAAGGAAAAGGAAGAGGGAAAGGGAAGTAGTATGCGTTTTTAGGGCGACGCATCCCGCCCAGACAGGAAGAGAGGATGAAGACCAAAGCTCGAGGAGGAAGACGACGAATCCCACACAGGGGCCAAGAGGACGAACACGAAATAGCAACGGAAGGGGAAGAAGACGTCAAGCCAAACTACGTGAGGAAGAAGAGGAGTAGGAACAGGAAGACAGACACGAAGACGACGACGAGGAAAAAGGTGAACAACGCGAGGACAACCAGGCCATCCCTACGCGGGCGAACAGGAGGAGGGCGAACGCGCGGGTCACGAAAGGCAGCAGGAAGAGAACGGGAGGAAGGAGAAGCCATCCCTAGGCGGGCGAAGAACCAGAAGACGGGCGCGCGGAAGACGAAGGCGAGAAGAAAAAGAGCGAAGGGTGAAACGTAGCTATGAAGAGGTGGCTGTCTTCCCTTTAGTGAAACCTCGTTCCTGGTTAAATGTGAAATTCCGCTGATCTATGATAAGCACGTTGAGGTCAAATTTTCCGACAGAGCCGGCCCGGGGTCACACAATGGGTACACCCGAGGATTCCCCACGAATGGGGTGTACACACTTAAACTCCAGATGGAGGGTGCTAATCTTTCGAGTACAACTGATGAGTCTCGAGTACAACTGATGAGTCTCGAGTACAACTGATGAGTCTCGAGTGGGTGTAGGTTCGGCTTGCAGTCACTTGGTTTCCGTCTAGCGGCGAAAACGTTACAAATTCAACATGAAGCACACACAGCGAGAGAAACAGCGGGCCAAAAGGACTTTGAATCACGCGAGTTGCGCAGGTACGCTGGGATGATCAGTCCCAGTATCACCACCGATGGCAAGTGTCTTCGTTGGCAGGAGACTTGCCATGGTGCTCCTGCCCCCTGCAGTTGTACGGCGGTGGCAGGGCATTCTGCCAATTTCAACAAGCACAAACACAAACACAAGCAAAAAAAGACGCCGACACACACACACACAAAAGCACAAGCAAACCAAAGCAAAAACAAGCACACAAGCGCGCAAAGACGCACACACGCGCGCGCAAAGACACAAACACACACACACACAACCAAACAAACAAACAAACAAACAAACAAACAAGCAAACAAGCAAGCAAGCAAGCAAGTAAGCGAACAAACAAACCAACAAACCAACAAACCAACAAACCAACAAACCAACAAACCAACAAACCAACAAACCAACAAACCAACAAACCCACAAACCAACAAACCCACAAACAAACAAACAAACAAGCAAACAAACAAACAAAGAAAGAAACAAGCAGACAGACAGACAGAGACACAGAGAGACAGAGAGACAGAGAGAGACAGAGAGACAGAGAGACAGAGAGACAGAGAGACAGAGAGACAGAGAGACAGAGAGACAGAAAGACAGAGAGAGAGAGAGAGAGAGAGAGACAGAGAGAGAGAGAGAGAGAGAGACAGAGAGACAGAGAGACAGAGAGACAGAGAGACAGAGAGACAGAGAGAGACAGAGAGAGACAGAGAGAGACAGAGAGACAGAGAGACAGAGAGAGACAGAGAGACAGAGAGAGACAGACAGACAGAGACAGACAGGCAGACAGACAGACAGACAGACAGAGGCAGAGAGACAGACAGACAGAGACAGACAGAGAGACAGAGAGAGAGACAGAGAGTGAGACAGAGAGAGAGACAGAGAGAGAGACAGAGAGAGAGACAGAGAGAGGGACAGAGAGACAGAGAGACAGAGAGACAGAGAGACAGAGAGACAGAGAGACAGAGAGACAGAGAGACAGAGAGACAGAGAGACAGAGAGACAGAGAGACAGAGAGACAGAGAGACAGAGAGACAGAGAGACAGAGAGACAGAGACAGACAGAGAGACAGAGAGACAGAGAGACAGAGAGACAGAGAGACAGAGAGACAGAGAGACAGAGAGACAGAGAGACAGAGAGACAGAGAGACAGAGAGACAGAGAGACAGAGAGACAGAGAGACAGAGAGACAGAGAGACAGAGACAGACAGACAGCTAGGCAGATAAATGCACAGCAAAACAAACAAGCAAGCAAACGAACAAACAAGCAAGCCAGTCAGCTAGCAAGCAAGCCAGCACTCAAAACAACCCAAACAAGCGGGCAAGCAAGCGAGCAAGCAAGCACGCGCGCATGCACGTAAGCGCACGCACGCACGCACACACGCACGCAAGCGAGCGAGCGAGCGAGCGAGCGAACAAGCAGGCAACATAGCAAACATGGGAAACATAGCAAGCATAGCAAACATAGCAAACATATATCAACAGGAACGCAAGCAAGCAAGCGAGCGAGCGAGCGAGCGAGAAAGCAAGAACGCAAGCGAGCGAGCGAGCAAGCGAGCAAGCAAAGGGTTCGAAGCGAGGAAAACAGGATAAGCGTTGCAGGCCCCATGGCCCTCTCAGCTAGGGACCTCAGCACATTGGGCCTGCAAGAAAGAAACATCTACCACGCAGCCTGGGCGTTTTACCTAGCCGCAGCCGAACTCTATTCTATTCAAATAGAAGAAAGAGCCAGCTAAGATTCTGATTAGGATCTAGATGCTTGGAAAGGAAATCCTATGTAACATATGATTCAAAATAATAACGGTAATTGATTTACTTGGAATGTGCCGTCCATATGCATTGCGCAGACACTTCTGATTTGAGCCCCACGTGCATGCTCGCCTCTTGTAAGCAATTTTGGTGCATGCCGTCCTTCTAATTGAAGTCCTACTTGGAAGGGAAGTGATATCGAGTTCAACAACGTGAACTCAATTCTAATCAAAATCCAATTTAGATGCAAAACCTTGCAGTGTAAACTTGCAAATTAATTGACACGGAATCTGTATTTTCCATGGGTTTTGACAGTTGTGTCAGTCCTTTTAAGGGGTTTGCAAATTAGAAGAAACAGCAGGCTTCTCTTTAAACTTAAAGCGTTGCAATCTAAAACTCGTAGACAAATAGAACCGAAATTGCACTTTGCTTGAGTTTCCATTGGTTTGTCTCTCCTGTAGGGGGCAGTCAAATTAGAAGAAACGACCAGCTTGAGTTTCCATACAGGGTTCTATTTGAACTCCAATTCAGCTCTAACGCCAAACCGTGTAGCAGGAGTGAAAAGAAAGATGTCAAGAGAATGGCAGCTAACCAACTACTCTATACTAACTCTGGTTTCTGCTTAAAACACAAGTATTTGTCACATTTCATTGGTTTAAACAACTCAGGCCCCATGCCGTCCAGCTCTCTTGTTGAAACATTCAAACCGCTTCTTGAGGCGTTGACTTCGCCGAATTTCGTGGATTTGCGGAAGCCAGAATGATGGAACTTGTGCAGGCTTTGTCGGCGCCTGATGCTGTAGTGCCAGTGTTGCGTCACCTGAGGCTGCTCTTGACAGCGAGTCGCAAACTCTGGCAAGCCCTGCTGCTCAGAAGCATTTTTGCGTGTCGCAAGTCTAGCGGCTTACTGCAGGATTGCCATCTTGGGCCGTTGTGCAGACACAAGAGGCGACAGATCATTGGATGGCAAGCTCGCGCCGAGCTGGTGGATGTATATTTTCGTCGCAGGATGTGAACAAGTCGACATCAAAATTTATCAAGATCCTGGAGCAGGCATGCTGAGCTCATAGTCAGCGATTGCTCAGGCAGGGTTGCTAAACCTGTTCTGTCGTTGCTAGATTCTGCTGGGCGTCAAGAGCTCTTTCGTCTTGGAGGACAGTGAACAGCTCCTACGTTCCGGGTTTCAGACGACAATCATGTAAGTAGTGTCCTAGAATCTATTTGTTAGAACACAAACGAACCAGTCACTCAAGTTGTAGTCCCTTGGATATTTCTACACCCTGATGTCAGCCATAGCCAAGCCTTTGTGTCAGGACATGATGCGAATTATTTGGCCGATGAGCCAACATAATCATCTGACAGAGATGCGAAGGCTCTGCAAGATGGCCACATGGCAAGACAGCAAGGCTCTGAGCCAAATGTTGGCTGTTTTGGCAGGTGGTGCACTGAGATTTCGTCTGCACTTGACAGGACTTGGAGCATAATTGGAGCCTTTCATGGATGAATCACAGCATCAAATGTGCCAGGACAGTTGTGAAGACGCCGCCCCTCTTGCCAGAGGCGGTGTGTCACGGGTGTGGGGTGTGTACGTGTCTGTGAAAAAACAACATATATATATATATATTATACTGGAAGCATTTGGCTGATGCAACTCTTGGTCTTCAGACGCATAGGAGCAGCTCGAGGATTTGCAGTGTGTCTTCCAGTGCGCAGAGATGTGGATGTCGAGCCGTTTTTGAAGATTGGGGGGAAGGTACTTCGATCTTGATCGTGATGGACATCTGAAGGCAGATGGGTTTAGAGACTTTGTGAAGACAGCGACCGAAGCCTCCGAGGTGTCTGAGCTTCTTGCATCAGGGTTCCTGAATCAGCAGGAGGCATGGCTTGAAGACTAGAATGCGATTGCGACACTCCTTCACTTTGCATGTAGGCTTTGGATTCATGACGGTCACTTTGTCACAGTCGAATCCAAGAGAGTAAATTCGTGAAGCCAAAGTGGAAGAACACAAACCACACAAAGTGTTTGATGGTTGACCTCGCGGAGGGTTCACCATTTGATGAGTGAGAAGTTGTTGTTAAACTTCCTCTGGCGGAGGCGCAAAGCTTGATAGAAAAGTACGACGCGGATGAGGATGAGTCAGCCCAGCCTGCTTTCACAGGGCCCTCATGCTGGTCTTTGTCCTTTCCTGACTCCTGACGAGAATACGGGTTTACGGAGAATCGCACAGTGGCCTTCAGCCCTTGATGCAGCGCGGGTGCAGCCTTTGTCCGGGTTTCATTGAAACTGATCGGAGGTGTGAGTGGCACTTCCTCGGGCGGTTGCTTCTTTTTCCGGTATTGCAAGTGGACCGCACGAGCCATGACTACCCCTTGACTTCAAGCTGCAAGCTCCCTTCCAGATTGGACTCGCCATGCCTTCCATAATTGCACGAAGTTACGTTTTTGTATTGTTTTTTTTTTTTTCAAATGTGCAAGCCAAGTGCTGCTACACAATGAACTTCATCATAGAGCAATCAGCTGTTCTTGCATGCTCAGAAGCTGACAATGTAGCTGCCATGCATGCACATGTATAACATGTTGTGCTCCCATACCTTGCGTCCCAGGGTCATATTTTGCCTTACGTTCTGCTACATGCGTCATTGGCGCAAACTGCAAACGTTTGTTCCTGGTCGTGCAAGCAATCCTGTGCTACGCAGGCGCTGCTTGGGGCGGGCCTTTTGCATGGTAGCAGCACGTGGTTCTCGCGTGTTTTCGCGGGCGTTGCAAGCCAGGCAGCTGAACATGGCGGAGTTCACCGAGATGCTTTGCCCTCTGGGATTTCGAGTTCGTGAGGAGGCACTGGGCCTCCCCACTGGTTGAATGCGTGGCTGCTTGTCCTTGGCTGGCTGGCCGGGTTTCCGTCGGTTGCTCGGGTCGGGCCACGTCGGGTCACGTCTCAGCTCGCGATGACGACCATGTTGTCCAAATCTGATGCGTTATTCCCCAAGAAGACATGGGCAAACCCGGATGTCAGCCTGGTATGTGGGAAATTTGGGATGCTGCATGTCTTCTCCAATCCCACGGTGGATTACGAACCAGCCATCTGTCCGAATGACTCTTCATGTGACCACTCCCGCAGGCCTCGCACGCCACTCTCGATGATGGTCGCAATGTTTGGTTTGATGCAGATGTGCAACGTGGGCGACTCGGAAAGCTGGATGTCTGCGTTTGCCCTGTCGTGGCCCTGCTTGCATTGCTGCCTTGATAGAGAGTTGTAATGTGAGTGACCTATGACTTGTGAGAGGCTGGCGTTTGGCAGAAGAGGCGTAAGGCGCGGCATTCCCAGAGGGAGACCGGGGGGGAGAGAAGAGAGAGAAAGAGAGAGAGGTCTATAGCTTGCATCTTCGGAAGGCAGCTTGCTCAATCCAATATGCTGAGCTCTTCAGATGCGACGTCAAACTGTGCCCAAAGGGCAAGCTTTGGCATCGTGCCTTTGGCGCTAATGTTTTCTTCCACAGTCGCGCGGATTTGGCAGCGCAACTGGGAGACTCGTTATTTACGTAGCGCCTTCGTTTGTTTTGCAAGGCTGTTTCATTCATAGCTTTGCGAGTCGGAGGTCATGAGGAAATAAATCCGGAGCTATGGTTGCACAGATGCTCGCAGATTCGCAGATTCGCAAATGTGTATTCGTTGCAGCCTTTTGCAGCTACAAGGTGTAGCACACAAATCGCTTGCTGCTGAGTCCTGCGAATGCAAGACCAAAAGCCAGAAAAGGTCCCTAGTGCTATGAGCATGGTCTTGATGCTCAGGCCATGTCCAGTGGTGACCCTGCGACGGACTTGCAGAGTACAAATGTCGCAGGCGATGCTTTGGGAGCACAGCTTACATGCTTTGGGCGCCAAAGAGCTTGATTTGATTGCAAGGTGTGGAGATGGAAGTGAGACCATCGCTCTTGGGCGCGCTTCAGCTTGCGATATGACGCATCTCCGAGGGCGAGCACGCATGCCGCATTGCCCACAGGTGAAGATGCAGGGAAGGGTCTGTTCGTGCTGCAGGCCTTTTGGCAACATGCAGCTCGCGTGTTGCGAGTGCCGGACAGGCTGTTCCAGCAGGGCAAGTGCTGTGCGAGTACCGTGGGAAACTGCTTTGCACTGCAGAGGCGAGTTGTCGTTCGGATGCTTCCAGTCAAGTCCTTGAGCCGAGCCTTCCAGGCGATGCGCCTGGAAGACAAGAGCTACCTTATGCGGGTAGGTCCTCAGGCTTCGTGGAGAAGCAGGTTTTCCACAGACGGGCTGCCTTGAGAGGAGTATATAGACGCCCGAGAAGACATCGAGGTCCTCGCCAGGTTTATCAACGACTGCCGGAATCCAGCTGCACGGAGCCCAGCGGCTCAAGAAGCTGGTTGAAGCAACAGGCGTGGGGCCGCACCGGGCCGAGGTCCACAACGTCCGTTTTGAGAAGCGACCCGGAGAAGGCCGTGCCCTGGTGGTGGCGGCGCGTCCGATCCGCGCTGGAGAGGATGGTACATGTTTTCTCTTTGGGCCACCCCAAAAGGGTCCTCAGGAGCTGTTCGTGGACTATGGCAAATGGTACTGGGCCAGCCTCAGGTCTGGCAAAGAGGGATTGGGTTGATGAGTTCATGGCGAGCCAGGCCAAACCGGATCTCGGTGAAGCAGGCAGCCGAGGCCGGCAGTCAATCTGACCATTTGGCGCAGCCTAGCCTCGTCCTAACTTCTGCCCAGATTTTGAAAGCCCTGGAAGAAATCGAGCCACAGGTCAGACGCTCAGCGTCACAAGCCAGCTTCAAGCGACTCACTGGCCGTGTTGTGAGGAATTGACACCCTCACTGCCCATCATGTTTTGGGTAGCCAACGACCAAAAGGGACCTTTCTGTAAATCGCCCATCTCCCAACATGCCGCGCATGATTCGGATTTGGCTCAAGTTGTGCTTGGCACCAGTTTCGCCTCGAATGGAGTGGCATCCTCTAAATCCTCTCAGCGCAGCGCACGGCGCACCGGGTTTTGGATGTTTTGGGCATGGCCAATGCCGAAGCTTCGGGCGCAGTCCCATTGGACCTGCGGCGATTGCCCGATGGAGTCCCGGGAGGCCACGCCTTTGGCGATTCTTCGGCGCGGCGGCTCTCGCGCGTCGCGCGCGCTCACGTTGGCCTGAGCCAAGCGACGAGGAGCGCCAAGCCTTGGCCAAGGAGCCATGCCTTCCGTTGGTCGACGGCTGCGAAAGCTTTGATCGGAGCAGCCCTCATTGCTTTGGTGGCCTAACGGACACCTGGGCCGCCCGGGCCTGGGACAAAGAGCACTTACTCCACACTTTTGGGTCTTTGACCTTCCGCTTGCGCCCCTGTTTTACTTTGCATCAGTATGGGTTTGCTGGTCCGAGCGAGCGACTTGTTACCTTGGCAGAGTATCTATTGTCGGACGGAGAATCCAGCAGTGGGTGTGTACTTTTCGAGAATGACTTCGATGCGGAACGGCTGTCAATGCTAGACGGGTTTGGGGTGCCCGATCTTTTGTCATCAGTGCGTGGGGCACCAATTTTTAGCGTCGGCCGCAAGGACACTGGCATTGGATTCCACAGGCACAGCGCCGCATGGTTGGCCCAATTGCAAGGAAGGAAGCTGTGGTTGCTAGTACCAGGCTGGATGTGGCAGTGCTCAGAAACACGACACTTGCGATCAGGATGCAGGTGGAAGAAGCACAAACTAGTGCTCGTTTTCCGCTCATCGAAGTAAGTGTGAACCAAAGAAGCAGCTGCCTCAATTTTCTGGAGCCATTCTGACTATCCAAATTGTGTGTGTGTGTCCTCCTTCTTGTTTTTGTTTTTTGCGTTGTTTTTTTCTTTCGGGGACCCACAGAATGGTGGTTTCTTTGGGTTTTCCCTTTTGGGACACAAAAAGAGGTACCCTCAAAAAAGGACGAGCCACCCATGTTTTTCCTGGTACCAGAGGTTTTCTCCCATGTTCTTGCTGGGTTTAGGAGGGCGACGGCCTGCTGCACGGGCGCCCTGGCAGTACCTGACCCACCGGCCGCCAGGGCTGCTGTGCTGTGTGGCCCATCCCGGGGAGGTGGTCTATGTTCCGGCTGGATGGCTGCTCAGCTTGCGCAAAAGAATAAGAACATTAAAAAAACACACACGCAGGTGTTGCTTTAATACTTGTTTTAATAAGATGAATTGAGAGCTTCCTTTGGCGAGGTGGCACGCCACATGGAACTTGGATGACGTAAGCCTCGGTGCCGGGTGGGAGCAGGGCGACTCTGCGAGCTGGGAGCCTGGGATGCATGCCATCATGGATGGCGCTGCTGCCCGCCTGACTCAGCGCGTCACCTTGCCCGCCCTCAGCCTCGCCGCCCGAACGGGGCGCCTTCCGATTTTTGAACTGCTGCTGGAGAGAGGCGGGCGCCAGCTTGTGGCCAGGGACGCCTCGTCAGCGGCCATCGCAGCGGCTCGCAGCGGCCACATCAAGATCCTGGCACACCTCTGGAGTCAAGGCTTTCCCATGATGAAGGCCAGTGCAAGTGGGACTACAGCGCTGCATGAGGCAGCGCGGTGCGGTAGACTGGACGCAGTGCAGTGGTTGCTGGACCACAATGCTGACTGCACGAGGATGGACTCCACCGGGGGAGAGGCTCTTCATGTCGCTGCAGCCTTTGGACACGTCCAAGTAGTTGAAACTTTGCTGCAGGCGACAGATTCGAGCAGGCGAGATGCCGATGGGCGCACCGCCTTAATGCTGTCGTCCTTGCATGGACACGTTGCAACCACAGAACTGCTTGCATCCCCAGCATCGGTCAAGCTGCAAGACAACAAAGGGCGAACTGCGCTGCACTTTGCTGCTATAAGAGGACAATCCTGTGCTATGCCCTGTTTGCTTGAAGCCTGTGCTGATGTTCAGTCTGTGGATCATATGGGCCGCACGCCACTGCATCTTGCAACACTACTTCTGAAGGAGACTTGGATTCCATATTTTAACGCCTCCGGCGTCCCTTTGGAATTGTGTTGAAATATGTAGCCCAATACGCATGTTGTCATATACAGTTGTACAGTTGAGACTACTGACATGTTTTGGCTCAAGAAAATAAGGCGCTCCGAAGCGGCCAAATAGATTTTCATGGTAGCGGGGAGCAGTAAAGGTTCAGAGGGACCTAAGCGCTCAATTTGGTACTACGCCAGCAGAGGGCGTGGATCAGTGCCGCCTTGGAGGCGGGGAGGCCGCGGACGCGGCAGGAGCCCGGCGGCGGTAGAGCCGCCAGGCGAGGAGGGCGCTTCGGTCGTGCCAGAGACCGAGGAGCTGCCCGAAGAGGCCCCGGTGGAGGAGACCGGGCCTGAGCAGCTCGGAGGAGCTGAAGAGGGGCCAGAAGAATTGGCCTCGGGACCGGATTGGTCCCCCAACAAGGAGAGCGTTGCCCAGCAGGCAGCTGAGACAGAGAGGATCTTAGCTAAGCTGCTGGAGGAGCCAGAGGAGCCAGAGGAGCCACCAAAGAAGAGAAAGAAGAGAGAGGATAAGCCCCCAGAGCCGAAGAAGCCGGCGCGCAAAGGGTGGATCGTCAATAGATCCACAGAGGCTTCAGCGTCGGACTCGGACGCCTGGGGCAACTGGCGATCTCCTTTGATCGCCCTGGCAGCCCCGTCCTCATCGCATCCGGAGGCTGCCAGCAGCACAGCGCCAGCAGCAGAAGCAGCAGCTGAGGAAGAGGAGGTCCAAGTAGAATCAGAGGAGGAGGCCCCTGCAGCAGCTGAGGAGAAGCCCGAAGAAGCAGGCAAGGGAAAGGGCAAAGGCAAGAAGGGCGAGAAGAAGAAGAGCAAGGCGCCCTGGCCCCGCGTGAAGGAGAACTCAGCCGGTAAGTGGAAGGACGGACGCCGGTCCAAGGAGGCGAGGTCCTACCGGTTCTTGCGGGGCTTGGTCAAGTTGAACTTGAAGCGCAACAACCCGATCCCGCCTGCAGTCCAGGAAGCCATCGATAAGTTCGAGAAGAGTACGGCTACGAGGTGCCTGTCCCCAAAGGCTTTGGCAGGAACGTGCAGCCAAAGTCCCCTCCAGGTGGTCCAAGGCAAAGGCCAAAGCGGGAGTCGGAGGAGGAGGAGGAGCCCAAAGCAGCCGCAGCAGCTGAGGAGGCAGCAGCACCGGGCGCTGAGCCAATTGCATTGCTGCCGGAGGTGGCAGCCGCGGCGAAGTCTGCAGGCCGCGTGATCAGTGTGGCGCTAGCCACGCAAGAGGCAGCACTGCGCAGAGTGCGTGCAGGCAAAGCCACCCCGGAGTCTGCATTGGCCAGCAACTACCGCCTGAGGAACGCGGCAATCGCTCAGGAAATTGCCGAGAGCAAAGCGCCGGCTCAGGGAACAGCCGGAGCTGCCGTAGAGGCAGCGATCAGGGCCCAGGTGTTGGCCCGTGACAGCCTAGCAAAGGCTTGCAGCTCGTGCGACGAGAGGCACCGCGCCCAATACCCGTGGTGTTGGAGCGTGCGGCGCGCATCGCGCGCCAAGGCAAGGGCGCGAAGGGCGCGACGCCTATCGCACCTGCTGCTGTCACCACTGCATCAAAGGCCCTTGCAGTGAACCCCAAGCCCGCGGCGAAGAAGCCGCCACCTGTGCCCAAGACAGCATCCGGAAAGCCTGCAGCAAAGGTCAAGTTGCAGCCCAAGCTCAAGCTGCAGCCCAAGGAGCAGCCCGAGGAAAAGCCGGGTGAGGAAGTGGCCAAAAGCAGCAAAGGCCCACCGGTGTTCCTCAAACCCAAGCAGAAGCCACCGGGAGCTCCGCAGCCTAAGTGGTCCGGAGTCCGCTTTCCGACTGAGCAGGAGTCCACAGACTTGGAAACCTACACTTCGGGGTCCGAGATCTTTGTGGAGGAACCCGCCGAGGATAGCGAGGCAGACGTATAGTCTGCCGAGGGCCAATGGCAGAATTAGCTGCCATACAAGCGCAACTGCAGCAGATCCTTGAGGAAAATAGAGTGTTGCGCGAGCAGCAACAGAGGCAACAGGAACAAACTGCCCTGTTGACCCGGCTGGCCGAAAGCATGACAGAATTGGCCAGGAATACAAAAAGAGAGGAACCCAGCAAGCTGTTGGTTGACACAAAGGGGATTGGTAAGCCGGAACGGTTCAACAATGAAGAGCCGGACGGGGTGTCCGGTTTACCAGACATAGGGGACCAATTGTTTCGTTTGCTTTCTTCCTTAACCCATGGAGAGACTGAGGACTTGGTGATAGGCTGTTCTAATGGGTTCGAAGCGTGGAGAAGAATCCACCGCCGGTGGGACTCCGGGCGATATTGAACCCAGAACGTGTGAAACGGTGGGAAAATGTGAGGGCCGCAATAGAGCAATTCGAGGGCAAGAACGAAGCGGGTGAGAGAGAACGCCTGTCAGAAGACATAAAGGCGACCAGCTTGGAGTTGCTTGTACCCTCAGACATTGAACGCCACCTTTTGTTGAACAAAGGACGCCTCACAACCTACGCACAGATGAAATCAGAAATTGACCTTGTGATTGAATCCTCTTTGGGAAGTAAGGCACCGATTTCACGCCCTGGCGCAGCATCCTCATCGGACAGCGGTCCGGCGCCTATGGACGTGGACAGCCTCACGAAGGTCATCAACAGCCTGGTCAAAGGCAAGGGATCCGGTGGAAAGGGCAAAAGTAAGGGCAAAGGTAAAGACAAGGGCAGTGGGGGAAAAGGTTCAACTTCCAAGGATATAGTTTGCTTTAACTGCGGTAAAGCCGGGCATAAAGCTGCGGAGTGCTGGAGTAAAAAGAAGGAT